GGATGGATGGATGGATGGATGGATGGATGGATGGATGGATGGATGGATGGATGGATGGATGGATGGATGGATGCTCATTTTTGTAGCTAAAACCAGTTTAGGAGATGAGGAGCGCAGTAGTAAAGCTGCAGAGCACAGTGTCTGTGGTATACAATGTCTGTGGATATTGTAGCCAATGTGCTTTGTCTCAAATCGTCTGCACCCAGAATGTCAGCCAGTGAGAAATGCTGTAACCACAAACTGCAGCGTGTATTGAAATACCGAAAATGTGCTCAAATTTCATATTACCATTATTGCAGAAACCTATATTGTTATATATTGGGTATTGATATTTAATTATTGTCCATCCATAAGGTTTATACAGTTTTAGTTCAGAGTGCCTTTTAGATTATTAAAAGTTCTGTTTTTATATATATATATATATATATATATTGAAGAACTTACCTGTGTTATCAAAATTATGTTTGATGTCGTCATCCTTGTACATTATGTCTGCATGTCCTCCCGTGCTAACATTTACTCCGTATTCACCCATAATCTTCCCGTCGTTGAACTTGTTATGGAGCTGGTTTGGTGTGGAGTTGAGTGAGTGTCCAACTCCGTCCTCCTCATCGCAATCATAATCATCAAGAATGGGAGTCTCACGAATGGGCATTCCAATAACAGAGCTGCCATGCTGGTGAGAGCCCCGGGAGCCTCTGTAGCTGTCACGGCCCTGCGGACCGAGTAGGACGGAGGGAATGTAGTGGATCTCATGGGTAGCTTCTGTACTGGCGCTTTTTTGGGGGATCCGGCGACGCTTGCACCATCGGTGACGAGTGTAAAGGACAAGGGTAAAGAGGAGAATAAGTAGCAGTAGGGCAATGAGTCCCCCCTGAAAGAGAAGAAAATACAAAATGTAAAGAAGAAAAATAAAAAAGACAAGGGACAAAGAGTTTTGGAAAGAATCATGCTTTAGCTACACATGGACGCAATTTGTATTTCAACAAATTCACTTTTGAAGGATTATTTAGATTGACTTCAACTATTACTGAGGATTATACAGGTTAATACCAGGGGTAAATAGAACATAAAAGTTGATATGTACATACGCAGACAGGAAAACATGTCAAGGCATGTCTTAAGGTTGCCAATGATCATTTGTATGATCCACAGGAGTCATGGGAGAAAGTCATGTGGTCAGATGAGAGTGTTCGGAAGAAGAAGAATGATGAGTATCATCCCAAGAGCACCATTCCTACTGTGAAGCATGGGGTTTGTAGCATCATGCTTTGGGGGTGCTTTTCTGCACATTGGAAAGGGCGAAATCACTGTATTGAGGAGAGGATGACCATAACCATGTATTGCAAGGTTTTGGGGAACAACCTCCTCCCTCAGTTAGAGCATTGAAGATGGGTTGAGGCTGGGTCTTCCAACATGACAATGAACCAAAGCACACAGCTAGGAAAACCAAGAAGTGTCTCTGTAAGAAGCACATCAACATTCTGGCCTGGCCTAGCCAGTCTCCAGACCTAAACCCAATAGAGAATCTTTAAAGAGAGCTCAAACTCTGTGTTTCTCAGCAACACCTTAGAAACCTAACTGATCTAGAGGGTATCTGTGCGGAGGAGTGGGCCAAAATCCCTCCTGCATTGTGTGCAAATCTGATGAAAAACTTCAGGAAACATTTGACCTCTGGAATTGCAAACACAGGCTACTGTACCAAATATTAACATGGATTTTCTCAGGTGTTCAAATACTTATTTGCAGCTGTATCACACAAATAAATTGTTTAAAATCATACATTGTGAATTCTGGATTTTTATCTTTTAGATAATGTCTTTCACAGTGGACATGCACATATGATAAAAAAAATGTCAGACCCATCCATGATTTCTCAGTGAAAGAACTTGCAAAATAGCACAGTGTTCAAATACTTATTTTCCTCACTGTAAATAGCTTTCTTAAATAGAGTTACTGTTTCCTGATGAAGGATTGACTCAAGGAAGATTAATACAAATGACCGCCTGACTTTTCCGATTTTTAATTGCAATAAATAAACCATGTTTTATTTAACTTCCCCAAACAAATAGTGCTGTGGGAATACTTTAGGACTGTGGGAAAAGAAACCGTAAGGTTAGTTAGAAAAAAATGGAGACAACTCTCTTTTTGTGTCACACACTGTTGCACAGGGATTGTTTGTCTCCTTTGTCCTTTCTTTCTTCTCTAAGCCCAGACTATAGCCCGTAGCTTCACCAGGGTGCATCACATTTCTCCATGGTTCATTCAATATGTGACGATCACAGAAACATCAAACAGCCCGCCATACTTGCAGTGGTTAGAGGATAAATCTATATTCAAAGACAGAGTGCTGGAAAGGGAGGCAGGGCAAGACTTGTTCTTTGATTTTTCACAATGGCATCCAATGGGTGAGATGTGGTATTGGATTCTGCAAGACGTGGCAACCTAGTGATTTATTTTTAATGTCAGGCTGAAAAAGCGAATGTCAGCACTTTTGCAGGCATATATTCACCATTGGAGCTGTATTTATAAGAATGATATGTGCACATGCACAACAGGAGACGGCCCAGACAGAAGGAGAACATATGCATGCATGCACCACCTCTTGGCCACACTAGATCAAGGCAGAATAATAAATACAAACTGTAAGGGTTCATTCATCACAACATTTAAAATTCCATCACCATGAGGTAAAACAAACCCCTTTCAAATTATAGCTCACGCGCTGCTGGGTGTTCATAAATCATATATGCTGAGAGGTGAGGCAGCACAGAGAGGACTTGTACTGTGGACAAAGTTGTCCATTAATCTCAAGCAGGACAGCAGCTGTGCTGGTCTGCAGTCACCAAAATTCTCCTTGTAGTCTGCTTGTCTTAAACACCTAAAAAATAAAAAGGCTTATGCTATGTTTTTCTAACATAATTGTATTGTACCAATAATAAGTGCTTTTAAATTACAATGAAATGTAGAATAAAATTAGGAATCTATTGTTCTATATTGCTATTTTTAACTCAGCCCAGTATATTATGGCTAGTTCTACAGAATTAAACCTGACAGTTAAACACAGTGGCTCAAGACAGATTCACACAATATTTTGAATTATATAGTAGTGACATGAAGTGAAATGCTTTTCCTCCAAAGACTAAAGGATCAAGTTATGTTTTATGTAATATTTTTTTGTGGAATTGTTAGGATGATCATCTTCCAGGAAACATCTAACTACCAACCATTTTCACATTCCAACGTAGAATGTAATGCCTAAAAGAGCCTCTATGTTTTCTAACTAACAACTATGAGAGCTTCCGCCATGTAGCTCATTACTCCCGACATAATGGGACTTCCATCTTCAGTTAATCCCTGTATTCACAGAATCTTTCAAAAAAATCCCTTGATCCAGTTGGTGATTTGGATCATCACCAAAATGGTATTGGTTTTTCTTTGGACTGAGGTTTACCTTTCATAAAATTTAATCAAAATGATTTCGTAACTTTCAAGTTCTCCTGCACACAGAAAGACAAACGCACAAACTCTCCTGAAAAAATAACCTGGTTGGCAGAGGTAAAAATGCAGTTGCTGCTGAGAAATACTAAAATGGCTAAACAAAACATATGTGTATGTAATCTGGGTCAAAGTGTGAGAACAATAATAATAGAAACTATAAACTTTACAGTTGTTTTTCTTGGCTCCTCATTGTTAAAAGGAGATTGAATCGGAGCTGTAGGAACGGCAAACCGTAATCGAAGAGACGGCAGACCGGAAGTGAGTTTATTCTGTTGTTAGCTGAACCAAGCAAGGAAAAAATTGAACCAGAGACCTACAACGACCGTACTTTTTTCATGCCATGTGCCATGATCGTGGTTTTGGACATTGGAACCAGTGTCCAAGTTTTATCTTGACTTGATGACCAGAAAAGAAGATATAATTTTTTTTTAAAAACAGCTGTAAGACGGCTTGGTGTGAGCCACTGAGACAGAAAACCCCTGCTTGCTGTTAGCCTGCCCTGCTAAGCTGCTGCTGGATGAAACTCAACCTTTCAAACAGACATGGACGGTTTGCCGGTCTGGCACAATTAGGGACAGAACAGACAATATGTCTTTTGATGATTTTGATAATTTCATGTGTTTACTGATGGGTATAGACAAAGCTAACAGGATGGACTGTATGCTATTCTATGCTACAGTAATATGTTTAGAGCTGTTGGTAAAGCTTGGACAAGCTTTAGTTCACTAAGGGGATAAACACTGATATAACATTAGCGTTAGTTTGTTCTCATATGCTCATTACATTTCGATTACCAAATATGACCAAGAGTCATTAAATGGAATCCTCATGTCTACTCGCTGCTAGCTATTTCAAAGAGAGTAAATAACCTTTTAACTAAAGGTTACTGGTTCCTGATTAAGCTAATCATAAGATATTTGCCACCCCTACTAGGTATCAGAAAATATGAATTCCCAGCTGGCTGGGAATTCAATATAATAGTTATTCATAACATAAATATGGCATCCAACCTAAATGGGCATTGATCATAAACTCACAACTCTTGAGTATTGTCCAACATGGTAAGTCTATGTTAAATGTTGTAAGCTAAAGGGTGATATATTTTGTTCTACATGTGAGTTTTTTTTGAGCCGAAAATTAGTGATGGTGAGATGAAGCCTCGTGACGCATTTGAACCATTTGGCCAAATTGCTTCAACGATACCCACAATTCATGAAGCTTCATGTGAACATGTCACCACCTGCTGGTTGAACGCAGAACTACAGTTGGTAATATTATCTGTGATTTTTTGCAATTGTTTTTTTCCCCCCCATTTAAGTTCCCTGAAATTGTTAATGATTGGTCTGTATCATGAAATCTTTTGTAAGTTTTTTGTGTGTAAAATGTTTTAGAAGAGAAACATTTTTTAAGGTACACTGGTTTTCTGCCTTTTTAGTGAAATAAGCTAAAGCAGACAGTGAAAGTGCTTGTGCAAATTGGGCAATGATGAACAAAATGAGAGGTGTTAGTCATTTTTATTTAAACATAATAGTTTTTACACAGTTTTTGGTTTTACTTAGTTGGAAGCTATGTGTTCAACCAATCTTTTGATTAAACCAACCAATCTAGTTTGATAATGTTTTTACCTAATCTACATTTTTACTTAGGCAAACCTATGCAAATTAGTCAAATAGCCAAAATACTTTCAATTTCTTTTACTTTCAAAATTTGAGGTGGGTTTTGAATCAAGAAGTGGAAGGCAATCTCTTACAGTTGACGCCACTGGCAAGGTGACATTGTGTGATAAATGTTTAAGCCCTTGAACCTCTTTTAAAAGCTAACCTGCGATCAAAAAGTCCAAACATATATTTTACAACCTCTGTCTATATGTTGATTATATACTGTACAACTTTAGCAACTTCATGTTTTTGCTAATATAATACTTGAAATCCACCTGAAAATATAGGACCCTTGTTTGTTGAAAACATTATATAGGGGATAAATAATTTCTATTTTACTTGGCAATAAAAATTAAATCAAGACTGTTTTTAAGGAAATCTGAAGACAACTGTTTTAAGTACTAAAGAAAAAAATGTTTGGTGGAGGACTAAAACTAATAATATCAACAATAAATAAATAAATAAGATTTTAGAAGACAGTGAATAATGAACATTTATTTTACAACAGTTAACTACTTGAAGTTCAACATGGAACATAACATGATAATGATAATAATAGTAATTGAACTTTATTGATCTCACATTGGAGAAATTAACCTCAGCACTTAACCCATTTCCTTGGGGAGCAGTAGGCTGCCACTGTGCACCCCCGGAGAGCTATTTAGGGGTTAAGGTTCTTGCTCAGAGACCCAGAGTAGCAGTCTGTGGGAGTGGG